CGTAGCAGCGAAGACGTCTTCTCCCTTGTAGCAGCGAAGACGTCCTCTCCCGCGTAGCAGCGAGGACGTCCTCTCCCGCGTAGCAGCGAGGACGTCCTTTCCCGCGTAGCAGCGAAGACGTCCTCGGGTCAAGCTCTTGACATGATCATTCGCTTTGCTTCGCATGAGGACTTAGGCACCATTCCGCCTTAGACGTTGAGAGTCCCGAGGGTCATTTCTCCAGTTGTCTGTTCTTTGAACGTTGACGTTGAGCGGGTGAAATCCGACCCCAACAATAGTTGTCAACAAAAAATTGATTATTTTAACTAAAATTATACTAATTTTCATTATTAACATTTCACTCCGCATACGGTAGAAAAAACATAATTTTATTATATATAAATCATAATTTTGGTCCTAAATAAACTATTTTACCAACACTATTTTCTGGTACTTTGCATCGGGCCTAACCTTATAGTGAATGAAATATTGTACATATTTTCAATTACTATCCTAAAAATTGTTTCCGCAAAAAAAACAAATATCGTCTATTTTGATTTACTAGTTTTAAACTAAACAGTCAGTTGATAAAAAAAAAGTTGATGAATTACTTTTGTTTATGAATTGTATAATTCACAAAATTGTATAATTGTATGCTCATGTTTCAATACTAAAAACCACTGTAAATACATAACAAATCGTAATAATATTTATGATCATGAATGGAAATAAAGGAAACACTTTTTTTTTGTCAACCAAACTATAAATCAAAAGGCGCCACTAGAATTGGTAATCCAATTCGGCGGCAAGTTACTTAACGAAAAATCAAAAGCTCGAGTACGTGCATAACGGGTTAAACAGTCCGCCTTTAAATTACTAGAACGGGAAACAAAAGATAAAGAGAAATGAATAAGCATTGATTTAGTTTATATTAAGGTAAACGAAGGCTTAATATAAACGTTTTGAGCCTTAGATTAGGAGTCATATCACCTCACTTTGAGGCATGTTGGCTAACTTTGAGCCTTCGTTTACCTTATTTTGAGGTGGCTAATTGTTTACTTAAGCCTTCTTTTATCTCAATATGATGTCTCTTTACCTCAATATGAGGATCCTTTACCTCACTATAGGGCTGTTACTCGAAACTTCGTATCTTGTTTTGTTGGTTTTTTTATTTGATGGATCCATATTAAGCGTTAGAGAGTTAGAAGATGAATTCATCAAAACCAATCTTCGATCTTTAGTATGAGATTCGGTTGTTTGGTTACAAAGATTCGGTTCTTTGTAGCCAAGTTTCTTGCTGCTTTTTATGTGCTAGTTGTTGCAGCTTTTTCCGGCAATAGATTGTGGGAGTCGAATCTCACAATAAGATTTGTCTTAGTAAAATTTCTAGGGTTTGAAAACTTTTGCAGAAAACCACTAAAACGGATAGATCTCCAGAGAGAATTTTTATTAAGTTGTTTTATAAAACTGTTGCAGAATACAAGTGTTTTGCTAATGAATTTCGGATCTCCTCTTTTTTCTAATGAATTTCGGATCCCCTCTGCAGAGGATGTACATATGTATATATACTAGTCTAGGTAAGTTAGGGTTAATCCCAAAATAATAAAA